TAGCGGCAGCGGTTGCTGCTGTTGTAGCGGCAGCCCTGGCTGCTGCTGCTGTTGCTGTTGTTGCTGTTGTTGTTGCGGTTGCTGCTGCTGCTGCTGCTGCTGCTGTTGCACATCACACACATCCCCCAGTGCTTGCAGCCCAGAGATCATGCGGCGAAAAGGTGGCGGTGGCACCCCAGCCCACTCAGCTGGTGACTGGGTGTCAGCTGCGCAGTCAAAAAGAGCCAGAGGGCCCCACCAACAACACTTGGAGCGCAGGCAAGCTCTGCCAATGTTGACCCATGGAATGTCTGTATCATGAGGCGCAGTAGCAAAGAACGCCCCCCACCACGCATGCCGAGCAATCATATGCTCATACCAAGGCAACACACCAAAGCCACCATCGGCTGGTCTGCCAACAAGAAGTCGCGCAGGAATGCCGGTGAACTTTTTAGTGACATCCGAGGGTGCCAACCCCCTGTTAACCAACTTGGCCACCTTGGCCTGAAGATGCTGACACTGTTGCGCGGAAGGCAGGTCTGAGAACTCCACAGCATACAAGAGTTTGCTTCCCCGTATGATGCACTGCTCATACCCCTGCCAAAAATTGACAGCGCCTTTACGCGGGACAACCTTGTCAAGGCTGCTTCCACTCCCTGCACTTTCTCCTCCCAACTGAGAGGGGAAGATGCCCCAACACAAACCCCAGCACATTAACCTGCAAGGTTGGAGTAAGCTGCGAGGTAATTGGCGCAGGCTGCTGCTGCTGCCGCTGCTGCTGCTGCTGCTGCTGTTGCTGTTGCTGTTGCTGTTGCTGTTGCTGTTGCTGTTGCTGTTGCTGTTGCTGTTGCTGCTGTTGCTGCTGGAACTGCATGCGCACTGCTCGCCCAACTAGAAAAAGTTTTGTCCTTTGGAGGTTGAGGTGTTGGCCGGATGCAGCAGCCATGTGTTGCATGTGAATCAAAAACGGCTGCACTGCATCCACTGAAGGCAGGTACACCTGAGTGTCGTCTGCAAACTGTTTAGCACACAGGCGGTGGCCGAGCACTGTGACGCCAACCCCCTTGGACGCCGAGAAACGGAGCAATGCTTCACCAACAAACAGGTACAGAAGCGGTGACAACGGGCACCCCTGTCGCACACCGGCTTTGCACACCCGCTGCTCTGACCTGAATCCACTGATCAAGCCACAAGCACGTGTGGCAGTCAGCAATGTTTTAGCCCAGGAGCAATAGCCGGCACCCACACCCATTGCACTCATAGTATCCAGTAAAAATTGCCTATCGATGGTGTCATATGCTTTCGTAATATCCAACAAGGCCGCCACCACACCACTATCGCTGCGCACGGCATGCATAAGCAGCTGGACAGTGATGATGTTATGCCCGATGCGCCTGCCCTTCCAAAAAGCTGTCTGAGTGGGGGCGATAGCACCACCCAACACCACCTGCACCCTATTCGCCAGGATCTGCGCAAGTAAACGGTAATCCAAGTTCAGCAGCGTGATAGGTCGGTAATCAGCAGCCAAGGTAGTGTCGCCAGCTTCGAAGATCCCCACAATCACCCCATCCAAGAATCCCACGGGGGTGGTGGCCAGAGCACCAACAGCACTGAAAACCTGGGCCACAACAGGAATAAGAAGATCCTGGCAATGCTTGTATTACACTGCTGGCAACCCATCCAACCCCGGCGATGACGATGGCTTGCATGCCGCAAGCGCCTGTTTGATCTCTGCTGTTGTCACATCAAGACTGCCGTCAGCATCCGCAGGTTGCCGGGGGCGGCTGCGCACTGCTGCCAGCACTTCGGCCTGCGCTGTTGCATCCACCTGCAGCTGCCTGCTGACCCTTGCCGACTGTGCAATCGCAACTGAGGCAGGGCCTGCCCCCTCCCATACAAAGTTGCCGGCGGCAGAGCGCAGGGCATCCACTCTGCTAGACTGACCCCCCCGCTGCACTGCTGCCAGCTGACTAGTAATGTGGGGACTCGGCTGCTCTCCATGATGTAGCCAAGCCTGCCGCTGCGCCCTGGAGCTGTTGGCCCAAGCTGCTGTTTGTGCGTCCCTCAATGTGCCTCTGGCTGCTGCTACTGCTGCCACAGCAGCATCGGCCTGTTGCTGACTGGCGGCCGCAGGCAAGTTCCCAAGCTGTCGCGCCGAAGAAGAGGGGTGACATGGTGTGAAAAGGCGACTACGTCGCAACGAACAGGCGAAAACAAAGAGAGCTGCTAGAAGTTCAGCGGAAAAACAGACTGTCACCCAAAAGAGGCCCACCCCGAGAAAGCCTCTGTGTGCGAGACATGACACGTGGCTCTGCAGGCAGAACCGTCAGACTCACCACACGCAGTGTAGAATTCTTTTGGGACACGCAGCAGGACTAACCTAAAACAGTGTCGGTGACAGCAGACCATACTTGTGCAGTATAGCGGGCGGGCTGAACTCACCGGGACAAAGGTGGCCAATCAAGGTCAATACCTTGGTCCGAGACAGCAGACAAGGGGGGAAGGAGCAGAGTACCTAGCAGCTGCTGCAGGGGCAATGCAACTGGATATTGCAGCAGCCGCACCACAAACCGTACAGCTCCTGCAGCGCAGTAACACCAGTCTCAGGCCTGACAGAAAGCAAACGGGCAAAAATACATGCAGAATGGTGGCTATCACCGCCGTACCACACGCAGACCATTACCCCGCAACACAGTGTGCCAGGAGATAAACGGCTGCCGGGTCAACAGCTGGTTCTCTTACTGCCGCGGCACTCTGGCAGTAGCGGCAAAATCAGCAAGCGCATCCCCAAAAGCACCAAGTGCCGCACGTACCGCCACCTGCTCCACCAGCACAGGCACCACAAGATCACTTGCCACAGCCCAGGCCGCTCTGCGGCCGCCGCGCCGCGAGCTGTCGCGCCTTTCATTGAGGAGAGTTACATGGGGTGTGCACGTCAGAAACGGAACACTTCGAGGACTGCAGCCCGCAGGACACGAGAACAAACCACAAAAAGCCTCAGAGAAGCAATTTGCAGCTTCCTCACCCAAAATAACACAAACTCTGCGCAGAGAAAGAGCATCAGGACGGAACAAAAGGTGTCAACGTCAGCGAAATAGGAATGGAACATGCAGACATGGCAACAATTAGCAGGTACTGGGCACCTCGGTGCTCCTGCTTCAGGTCGCGCCAGAAGAAGAAGAGGGGTTACATGGTGTGCACAGGCGACTACGTCGCAACGAACACCCGAAAACAAAGAGAGCTGCTAGAAGTTCAGCGGAAAAACAGACTGTCACCCAAAAGAGGCCCACCCCGAGAAAGCCTCTGTGCGCGAGACATGACACGTGGCTCTGCAGGCAGAACCGTCAGACTCACAACACGCAGTGTAGAATTCTATTGGGACAAGCAGCATGACTAACCTAAAACAGTGTCGGTGACAGCAGACCATACTTGTGCAGTATAGCGGGCGGGCTGAACTCAACGGGACAAAGTTGGCCAGTAAAGGTCGCGTTGGTTGAGGAGAGTTACATGGGTGTGCACGTTGGAAACGGAACACTTCGAGGACTGCAGCGCGCAGGACACGAGAATAAACCACAAAAAGCCTCAGAGAAGCAATTTGCAGCTTCCTCACCCAAAATAACACAAACTCTGCGCAGAGAAAAATCATCAGGACGGAACAAAAAGGTGTCAACGTCAGCGAAATAGGATTGGAACATGCAGACATGGCAACAACTAGCAGGTACTGGGCACCTCGGTGCTCCTGCTTCAGGTGTTGAAGACATTGTACAACATGATGATCAACATGATCATAACTCTCTGCTACTAGAACGCGCACAAAGCAACAGCATAACCCGCAGCGCCGTGGCACCACAGGCACCTGCCACCCTACTGATGTGTCTGGCAAGGCCACACCCCTGGCAATGGCACCTGCCCAACACACCTACTGGCTGACACAGGCTGCATGAGAGTACTAACAGCACAAGACATGCAACCACATGTAGCAAAACGGATCAAAGAGCAGAGGATGCAAGAAATAACCCCAATTCATGCTATGACGCAGAGGCCAAGTCCCTTCTTGGTGCTAGCTGCAGCCGGCCTTCAACCACGCGTAAAAAGGGGTGATCAGCTGGCACAATATCCAGCCAGGTCAAGGGTGCCGCCTTGATGACTATGAAGTCAACCAGCAGCTCCCAAAACCTAGCCACCGCCGCCTTCTTCTTCGTCTGCACCAGCTCATCAAGCTCCTGCTGTCGCCGCTGCTGAAGCTGTAGCTGCTGCTGCTCTCTGTGCTGCCTCACTGCCTCATTATGAGCCAGTTGCGCAGCTGAGGGAGTAGCAGGCTGCAACAACTGAGTGATAAGCTGCTGGTCAGCAGGTCTTTTGATTGAGGAGAGTTACATGGGTGTGCACGTTGGAAACGGAACACTTCGAGGACTGCAGCGCGCAGGACACGAGAATAAACCACAAAAAGCCTCAGAGAAGCAATTTGCAGCTTCCTCACCCAAAATAACACAAACTCTGCGCAGAGAAAAATCATCAGGACGGAACAAAAAGGTGTCAACGTCAGCGAAATAGGATTGGAACATGCAGACATGGCAACAACTAGCAGGTACTGGGCACCTCGGTGCTCCTGCTTCAGGTGTTGAAGACATTGTACAACATGATGATCAACATGATCATAACTCTCTGCTACTAGAACGCGCACAAAGCAACAGCATAACCCGCAGCGCCGTGGCACCACAGGCACCTGCCACCCTACTGATGTGTCTGACAAGGCCACACCCCTGGCAATGGCACCCGCCCAACACACCTACTGGCTGACACAGGCTGCATGAGAGTACTAACAGCACAAGACATGCAACCACATGTAGCAAAACGGATCAAAGAGCAGAGGATGCAAGAAATAACCCCAATTCATGCTATGACGCAGAGGCCAAGTCCCTTCTTGGTGCAGGTCGCGCCCGGATTCGAAGCTTGATTCAAAAATTTGGCATATAGTTATTGTTATGACGGCTCGCAGCGCAACCAAGTAGTGGAACTTCGGGCAGATGCCCGAGCGGTCTAAGGGGCTGGCCTCAAGATCCAGTATCGTAAGATGCGTGGGTTCGAACCCCACTCTGCCCATCTTCAGTTTTTGGCTTTTCTTCTCTTCACCTTCTTCTTGATCATGTCTGCCTCATCCTTACTTGCCTGCGTCTCCCGCAGGCCTTATGGCGTGATGTCGTCAGCGCATCATTTCACGGCGAGTGCTCAGCAGTGCTTAGCTGGTGTTCCCTACATGGCCTTGCTGTCACGCTGTTCTGGTAAGTAACTTGCAGACCAGCTGCATGGACTGCATATCACCTCCCATGCAAAGCATACAGTGCAACCCCCATGTTACACTTCAGCCACCACATCCACCCAAAGTTGCCTATGGAGTGACGACCAGACACTGCGTACACATGTAATCATGCGGGTTACATGCCTTGTAGCATACGTCACCCTGCTGCCCATTCACAGTTTGGATGTTACACGATGGGAACATCGCCGGTTTTCGAGCCAATGACAGGCTCATTGGGCAACCACTTGATCCATCAATCTTCAATTTCTTAGCGGGGAATCGGCCAGTTGCCTTCGGCTCTAGCGCACTGGCACGCTGCTCTATCGCAAGCACTCCTAATCCTGACTGCACGCACAGCAGCCCTCCTCCACTTAACCACTGCACGGCATCCTTCTGCACCGTCAATTCCATACTTCACTGGATATTCACGTTAGTGACACCAACTCCCATACGCTGCACATGCCACCACATGGCCGCTGCGAGCACTGCACACGCTGCATACCCGACAGCCCTCCTCACCCAGCACTTCAAACCAACGCACAGCGCACGCCTCAGCCGCGCCGGTTGCTGCGCGTCAGCTTGCGCTCGTTGGGGTTGTTCTTCCAGGCCGGCCGCAGCACGGCGGCCAGGCCCCTGTGCTGCGCCAGCTCCGCCTGGCTCTGCACGTGCCACGTGTCGGCCGAAAACTCGGGCGCAAACGCATCCACGCCGCCGCCTGCTGCCGCGCCCTCGGCGTCGCCGTCCGCTGCTGGCTGCTTCTTCTTGACTGCGCGCCTGCCCAGGGCTTTGACCTTCAGCAGGAAGACGTCCTCGCGCAGCACCGGGTCGTTGCTGTTGCGCCCACCCTGCAGCACACAGGCAGCACAACAGCGGAGCAGTGGCAGTGCATCTCAGTGCTTGAGCAATGGCAATGAGCTCCAGCACCAGAACGCCCTCGCGCACGACAGCCACTGCTGTTGCCACCAGCAAGATGACATACACAAATGCTGTAGAACAAGGCCATTGCACCAGCAGACAGGCCGAGCTGATCACAGCATACTACTAACTGCACACTAGTGCATTCCACTCCACGTGCAAGTGCACAGCAGTGCAGTCCGGTGTACAGCTGTGAACAACACATGCGCACGTGAACATTGACGCATAGAGCACACTCAAGCGAAGCTTGGGCAGTAGGGCGGCTGGCACCACCCTTCCGTACCTGTGAACAAGTGCTACCACACATGACGCAACACACCACACACCCAGCAACAGAACTTGCACCAGGTAACGTCAGTCAAGTCGGTGCTGCCCCTGAGAATAGCCGCTTGCGCGCCACAGGTACTCTGCACCATGTGGCACCAATCAGCCCTACCAACGCTCCAACTCAACAGACAACATACGTGCCTCTGTGCAGGAGCCCTTGCCGCACGCACACGCACACGCACGCACGCGCACGCACGCACGCGCACCACGCACGCGCACGCGCACGCGCACACACCCCCACCCCCACCCCCACCCCCACACACCAGCACACGCCGAGCGCTGCGCGCTGCCGCACACACGTACCTCATCAAACAAAAAAAAACCAGACCTTCCTTAGGATTGACCAGCACCTCAGGCTGCACTCACCCGTGGCTTGGGCAGCGAGAACTTTGTGCCCCTCAGGATGTGGCGCTTGCGCACCCCAAAGTACTCGGCGCCGTCGGGCCCCACACCACCTCCACCCTGTCGAGCGTCATGTTGCCGCACTTGGGGCAGAACAGCCGCCCGGGCTCGCGCGTGACGTTATAACACGCCGAGCAGCGCAGCGCGTAACGGCTCAGCCGCGCGATGCGCCGGCCGTCGCGCGTCAGCAGCCGCAGGCCCATCTGCAGCAGCACGTTCTGCATCGCAAATCGGCGGTGACGCTGGCCACGCTGGAGTGCCAGCGCGGCATGCCTGGGGCCAACCTCTGCTGCTGCTGTCCGTCTGGTGCTCCTGCTGCTGCCTCATCTGCTGTTGCTGCTGCTGCATCCTCATCTGCTTCCTCAAGGTCTTCTGCTGTGTACACCTGGTGCTCTGACGCCAGAAGTTCGTCATGCGTTACTGCTGCTCCCACCCTGCCGCCTGCCTCTTCATCTTCCGACTCCCCTCCGCTGCTGCTGCTGCTTGCTTCCTCTGCTGCTGCTGCTGCTGCTGCTGCTGCTGCTGCTGCTGCTGCACCCTCTGCAGCGCCACTCTGCTGCTGCATGACTTGCTCAGCAGCAGGCTCAGGTAGCTGCTGCTTCTGGTGCTCTGGCTGCCGCTGCTGCTGCTCTGGCTGCTCTGGCTGCTGCTCTGGCTGCTGCTTCTGTTCTGGCTGCTGCTTCTTCTGCTGCTGCTGCGGCTGCTGCTCTGGCTGCTGCTTCTGCTGCTGCTGCTGCTGCTGCATCAGCGCAGCATGCCCTTCCCACTCCTGCTCGAACGCTCGCTGATGCTCCTGCCGTTTGACCTCCTTGCGCTTCTTCCTGCGTGCTGCATTCTTGCTGCTCGCTGCAGTGTCCCACGCATCACCCTCTTCCGCTTCCTCTGTTGCTGCTGCTGCTGCTCCTGCAGGAGCATTAGGTGCAGCAGCCGCATGCTGCTGTTGCTGCTGCGGTCGCGGCGGCGCCCTTATTGCTGCTGCTTTTGCACCAGCACCAGGTGCAGCAGCCCTCTGCTGCTGCTGTGGCCGCGGCCGTGGCACCAGCCTCACATCTACAGCTTTCTTCTGAGCCTGCTGCACGCCGGCAGAACCACCAGCGGCTGTAGCAGGGGCCCTGTTGGCCGGCACCTTGGCTCCAGCCGAAGGAGCAGCGGAAGGAGCAGCAGCAGCAGCAGCAGCAGGCACCGCCTCCTCTCCCACAAAGCCGTTGGGCTGCAACGGGTCCAGGATCAGCTGCTGCACCTGCTGTGCTATGCGGCTGGTGCTGCCTGCTGCCGCTGCCGCCTCGTCTGCTTCATTCGCCTCATCGACAACCTTCCAGTCTTCTGGGTTGGCCACTGCCCCCCAGCCAGGCATGGCCTCGGCTGACGCGATGGCTTTGTTGTGCATGCGGGGCTGCAGCAGCAGAAGCAGCAGCAGCAGCAGCGGCAGCAGGCAGGCAAAGGGAGTAGGGGTGTGCAAGCGGCAGCAACCAGGTGAGCTTGTGGTGTGGGGGCCCCCAACATGGATGTGATGTCATCGGATGAAGCGCGACAACAAGGGACTTGACCGTGCATTAGCTTGGGCACTGGTCCACACCACAGAATGGCCTTGGTGAGAATGCGCAGCTGGGAAAGCGCTATCATGCAGCAGCAGCAGCAGCAGCAGCAGCAGCAGCAGCAGCAGCAGCAGCAGCCAGGGTTGCACCCAGGTGGGGCTGGCAGCAGCAGCAGCCAGAAGTGCACAGGCACGCTGATGCGGTGGCTCATGTGGGGGACACGGACAACACAACCTGCATGACAACAAGGAGACTGCACACAAGGCCCTGCCACACACAGACTGCAGCATGTAACTACGAGTACACACTCACCTGGTTTGCATGCGCTGCTAGTGGTCTGTGCCATGAGCTGCCACCTCCAGCGTATGCGCAAGCGCCAGCAGCTTGAGGTCGACACTGGACAGCACTGCAATGTCACCAGTCTCACGCGCAAAGCGGGTCACTGCAGGTAGCACACAGCAGCATGGGAATCATGAGGAGCGGAATGTGGACCAGACCACCTGGAGTATTGCCAAGCACGTCAACTGACAGGGCCCCTTGACATATGCGAGAGCAGCTGAATGCAAGTATAGCACTGGGGCTAGCAGTGCGCAGCAGCAGCTTGGACAGCCTGCTCAATGAAAAGCAGCCCGGACATGGCTGACGCTAAGCATGCACCCAGCGACAACAACACATTACATCGCATGTAAGCAATGTACGCGCTTACCTGCCGTGACTGAATCCTCTGTTGGCTCCAACAGCTGTAGCTTGTATGGCAGAGTGGATAGGAACTGCCGCGACTGCTTGTCACGGATCTCAGCAAACACCTCTGGAATCGTGACTGCACGGTCTGCTATGCCCTCGAGTTTGAGTCCTCCGATGATTGCGTTTGCATCCACGACCAGCAGCCGCAGGTTCTCAGTGCTGCTGTTCACGTCCTGCGCAGCCACGACGGGCTGTGCTGAGGCCTTAGCAACGGAGGCCCACGAAGCCATGTTTGCGTGATGCTATCAGTTGTGCATGCCCTCAAGGCTGTATGAGCTTGCTCGGAGAACTGCAACTGTGTGTGCGGCCAAGAAGGGTTTCGTCTGCAACATTCAAGATAATGCTACTTCCCGAACGTAATGTTTGTCGTTGCTGCTTGAGGCCCAAGCTTGAAGGTCTACAGAAGCTCACAGTACGAAGTAACACGTTGCAAAGCCCTCATGACACGCAGTGCACCGCTGTTTTGGCAGCCAGTTCTCAAAGTCTTAGTAGAATCGTACCACGGGTCTTCATGACAATGATGCGTGCTTCACACAACTACAGCGGTAACTATTTCAAGAGTAGATCCAAGATGGGTGGCATGCTGTCAGTGCTTGTTGGCCGTTGCCAATCAACACTCAGCAGGCTAGCAAGGCCACGCAGAGCAGAGCAGACTACTCCTGCAGGTGCTGCAAACCTGCAAGTTTGGGTAGCTTTGCTTTTACGCCTGCTTCTGCCTGCTAGCTGCAGCAGGTACACTGATCAGTGCTACAACTGCAATGCATGCATTGTTCAACAGTGCCCTACGGTCCCTTCTACCGGGAACTACGAGCAACAAGCTAAACTTGCACCCCTGCAACTTACGGTAGATAAGCATACCCTGGCGGTACAGCAGCACAACA